ATTTACCAGGAAATTAGGAGTGGAATGGTAAATTAGGACTCCAACAATCTCTTGAAATTGAAAGATCGTTTCGCTACAGGGTGAACTAAAATAACATCGCGCAACGCCTAGAAAATTAAGTTGAAAATGCACAGAAAACTGGTTGTAACTATGACTCAGTAAAAGATAAGACAAATACTTCCAGAATTTCTAAGAGATCTTAAAGAGCGCCATAGATGGATTAAAGCTTTCCTAATAGATAATATACCATATAAACATTAGACTGTAGTTTGTGCAAAACATTTTCCATCAAACTTCCAAGTTATTAAAGTAAAAGGAAAAGAAAATCCTCGAGATCCACCTAGTGTATTTGAATTAATAAAGAGTTTAGTGCCATCTCTTCCACAAAAAAAAGAACAACAACGATAGGTAAAAGCTCTCTTAGAGAGCTTAGAAAGTCTCTAAGATCAGTTAAAGAAGATGAACTTTTCAAAGTTCGTAGAGTTTGACGAAGTTGATTCATTTAGAATATTTTGCAGTTATTTATCTCAAGGAAGACTTAATGATTCATTAGCTTATTTATTTTTCGAATAGATATTGTTTGCAATCAAAAGAGCATTAAAGCAATACTGGTATTAGTAAATTGTGTCTAATAGTATTTAATAATTTATCATATGAAACTTATCATGTTGTAGTTGTATTCAATATTACTTCGTTAGTTAAAAATTGTATCTATAAGTTCAAAAGTTGGTCACATCATTTGGATATTTGATTTCTTTTAAGAAGTCAGAAAAGAAAACAATTTTACGTCAGCAGGTTGAATGCATAAGTTGAACTCAAGTAACATTTTTTAACAAAAATATTCACCTGAAGTTATTGTTCGAACATTTTGCACAGTCACATAGTTTATATGATCACCTATGCAATTTGATAGTTGGCTAGCTTTTCCACTAGATTTTCCAAAAGTTCTTATTAACATTTGTCTACCTACAGTAATACTTTGATTATTATGATCGGAGTGCTTTCCAAGAGGCTTCCACGAATCAATATATATCTTTGGAAGTAAGGTAGTATCTTTCTTTCAAATAATCGGGCCCACTTACTACACGTTGATTTGATATTTGCATAGGTCTCACACTTGTGTCCAAGGAATGAGCTCTCCTATTGTTGCACGGCATAAATCAAAATCATCTCAACAATTTTGTCTGGTGCATGATTCCAAAAATCCAGATCCTTTAACAAATATTTGTTTTAATTTGTTGTCTGCTCATTGAATATAAATTTTAAGTTGAACAATGTTGTATGTTTTTTTAAGAGTTAACCCCAATGCGTTTTTTAAAGTTGCAATTCCTTTTTCAGAGATATTCACAACAGTTAAAGGACCGAGCCATTTTTGTGAAAACTTCCCACCCTTCCAATCAAATCGTTTGTTGTTTTTCAGTAATACAATGTCATCTACCTTAATTTCTGACTTTGACAAATTTCTACTATCATAATCTCGATTTTGCTTTTTCTGCGCAACTTTTTGTCTTGACAACTGTCAAAAATGCTTTGTCTAATAAATAATTCTCCTTTATTCTAATGTACTTCATTTCTTCCCTCAGGCGTTCACTGCTTGTGTGTGACCATTCGGCGAATTTCCAAAGTTTTTAAATTATATTTTCGCTTCAGACATGATTGTTGCTCTGACTTTACTTGTTAATGAAAAGACGGCATCAAAAAAGTTGAGATCGAATGGTTGTTCTACGTCTATATTTTCTTCTCGGTGTTCTTGTTTATTGCTTTCATTTGACAAGGCTATGCTTTACATCAATTTGCAAAATTGGTTTGCGATTATACATCAGCATGAATGGAGAGTAGTTAGTAGAAGAATGTCGACTAACGCGATGAGCAAAAAGAATACCATCAATAATTTACGGCAACATTTTAGGATTACCTTCCAAAACCTTTACCAAAGAGTTCTTTATTGTTCGGTTTTGACGTTCTACCAATCCATTTGCCTGAGGGTGATAAGCAGACGTAATTCTCTGCTCTACTCCAGTTAGTTCGTGTAGTTGTTTACATACTTCTTTACAAACTCCCAACCCTGGTCATTGATTTGGATTTTAAAGCACCCATGCCGACACATAATCTCGTACAAAAATTAAGAGACAGTTTGAGCTGATTTTTCCTTGATAGGTTTAGCTTCCAACCATTTTGAAAAATAATCGATCAAGACAATGATATGACGATATCCATCAACTATTGGAAGATTACAAATGTACACTCCAACTTGTTCTATTACACTTGATGGTACTGGTATAGACTACTTTTGGAGACTTTAGGTCACCTTGTTTTTGACATTTTGACATTTGTTCGCAGCTCCTAATATACTTACTAACATCAGCAGCAATATTATACCGAAAAAATCTTTGCGCAATATTGTCATACGAAGTGTTTTTTCCTCTATGTGAAGCCATTGCCTTAGAGTGTTTAGAATCTCCAATACCTCGGTGTACGTCTCTAATAACTTCCATTTGGAGTTCTTTGTTTTTAATAACTATTCTTATATTATAAAATAAATGCCCGTCTTTTACTTCAAACCGTTTTGCTGCTCTTTAAAAATTTGATTTAATCCCATAATCATGTGTAGATATAGTAGAAGGGTATTTTTATTCCTAAGATAATCTTCTATGTTATCAAAATCAAAATTTTTTTTTTCCTTTGCCATGAAGCAGTACACTTGTGATTATTTGTAAAATTTATTTTTTTGTTTACGTATGAAACAATTATAGCGCATTATTTAAACACGCTTTTGCGTTCAAATCAGCTTTGATTCTATTCTAAATTCTATTTACAGTTTGTTTTTTTTTTAAAAATTTTTTTACTGCAGAATAGAATGACTTCTTTGTAAATTTTCTTTTTAAATCGCAAGTTCTTGGAGTCTTAATTTACCGCTCCAATCATAATTTCCCGGGAAATTATGACTTGTAACATTAAATTTTCCTGTCAAATTTTTCTTCAAAGTCTTGATTTCCCGGCTTCGAAGTCCTAATTTCCTGGAGTCTTAATTTACCGCTACACCGGTACAATATTGGCAACCTTACCCTATGGTTTTATTAAACTTAGACATTCATAATTTTCTTCAAACAAACAATCTTAGTATTTCAAAACAAAATATTACTGAAGATATATTGAAATTTATTCAGCCAAAATTTGCTGAATTTAAAGACGTTGATTTTAGACATCCTGATCAACGATTTGTTTACTTATTTTAAAAAAAGTGGAAATCTGCAATCTATACTATCAAATATTTTAAAAAGAAGTTTATGAACTGGCTTAATGAATATTTAATTGTCAGAAAAAAAGACAACATAAAAAAAAAAAAAAATAAGAAAATGGCAAGCAAGATCTAAAGAACGTAAAAAAAAAGCATCTGCAGCTAAACAATTAAACTGATTTTATGAACAAAATGGAACTTGTTGTTTTGTTCATAAAATAAAAAAAGTGGTGGTTTTGGAACAAGCCAAGATGGCAATACCTCAAAGCGTGCTTTTGCAGCATTTGAACAATTAGCTGAAATTCTGGGTATTGATCAAAGCCTTTTATTCTGAGTTTACATGATCTTGATAGTACTCTTTTCAGGATATAAAATAGGCTGATTGAAATTCAAGGATTATTGTTTCGACACTGTTATACCCTTTATCCATGGTATTACATGGTTCAACCAATTTACAAAGTATTGATAAATGGACATGGCATAATTAAAAGCCTTACATTACCCATCGGAGATTTATGTCAGAGGAAACTCAAAAGGCTAGAAATAAAGACTTCTAGTCTTAACGCGAAAATTTCAGCCAAAAAACATTCAGAAGTGCAACAGATACTGATCTTATCTATAGACTCCTAGTATCCAGTAATCCTGTTTATTTCATCACTACGTAAATCAACATCACACCTAACAATTCATAAAGCATTTCCTTCAGATGTTTTACATTTACTTGAACAATCTTTAAACGATGTTATTGTTTTATAATCTTTTGATGTAACTTAAAATTGATCAATGTTTTCTTACACTATTTTTATCACTTTTATAAAAAGTGTGGTCTCATATTGATACTCATGCCAAATTTAGTGAATATAGCACTCACAAAAGGTCTGATAACAAAAATAGGTTGTTGCTAAGCAAAATAAAGGTATCCATTGCAACGAAATAAAAAGACATAACCTTCATAAAAAGCGCAGACATCATATTAGTAAATTTGTTCAGTAAAAGAGAATTCTGACCTACTGTGATACGTCATTGTATTATTATAACAACACCAAAAATTTAAAAGCGCTTTAATTAGATGATAGCCTTTAATTACTGCATATATGTTTACGCTAACGGTACTGATTCCTGTTATCAACACATAAAGCCGATTCAAAAAACACAAAGCAACTTTAACTTCACTGCTTACATATAAGAAATCTTTAAGTATGCTTATATTACCAAGCTGCTTATATTACCCAAATCTACCCTATGTAAATCTGGAAAAAATATATTTATATCTTTAACACTTATTCTGCTAATAAATTGGAGATTGGACTCCTTTTTAGCAGACTTTTTTGACAAATCATTATTTCAAATTTTATTTGACATACGTAAATCTGGAAGAAATACAGTTCATAATTTTCGTTTTCAGATGCTGTTATATCTGCATAAATATTCAAAAGAAGCATATACAGCAGCCAGAATGGCTTCGGCTTGTTAAAATAATCATTCACTGAGACCTATTAAAAGTTATTCACCTAGACCCCCTTAATAGTTGTTAATCATCGTGTTAATAATGTTAAAACGATGAGATTAAGACGCCAAAACTTAAAATAAAACTAGAAATATAACTTTTCATTCTTACTTAAAAGATTTTTTTGACAAAGTTCAAAATTTAATTAAAAGATGTCTATCTAATTTATCTATGAGTTATTTGTTTTTTATCACAAAAATAATCTCATTGATTATTTATTCATTAAACTTTTTGATCCCCCAAAAAACCACGATATCAAAATCCAATAATTTAGTATAAGCATTTTAAAAATATAACTACAAAATAAAAAAAGTTTTACAAAAATTACAATAAAAAACAACATAAATATTTACAAATAAAAATAATATAAAATCGCTTTTACAATGTAAAAAATTAAATGCAGGTGCTACTGTTGCAAAATCACTCGTCCGGAACTTGTGCGAGCTAATTTTGGCTGAGCTGTTGACCGAGTTGTTCCATCTAAATTATAAATACGCAAGTTTGAGATAAAATATATTTTCTCATATAAATGTATATAAATTTATAAAAATTTATATACATTAATATGAGAAAATAAGAATGGTGTTAAAGCTACCTACTTAAAGCTGAAAACGTTTAAATTTACATAAAGGTATACAACAAGGTTCAATTCTGGAAAATTATAAGATCTTTCTTTTTTGTCAAGTTCTTCAAAAACTTGTGATGAAATTTACACAGAAAAAGGAAAGTGTAAACAAAGTATACGAAACTCATGAAATCAAAAAAACAACTTTACTAAAAAGTTTTTAAAAATCACATATGATACAACTGTGTTAGAGATCTATATTAAATGAATTCAAAAAAAATTAATAATAATAGGAAATTGCTATAAGGAAGCTGGAAATTAATTCTTTTTAACTTTAACCCTGGAATTTTAATCCTGAGAACTTGCTATAAGGAAGCTGAAAATTAAATATTTTTAACTTTAATTCGGAATTTTAATCTTGAAAAAACTAAGTTATTTGGAACCTCCAAGGATTTATATATATATATATATATATATATATATATATATATATATATATATATATATATATATATATATATATATATATATATATATATATATATATATATATATATATATATATATATATATATATTCATACAATTTATAGATTTTTAGAGCAAGTTGGCTTTAAAAAGCTATAAATTGTTTGAATAAGGAAAAAATAAAGATGAGAGAGAATTCCAAAGAACTGATACTCGCATTAAAAAAATAATGAAAATTTTTTGAAGTAAATCATGAAGTAAAAGGATGCCAATTGAAAAAGCTGAGTGATGAATCATGTGAGATTGAGTTTTGGTAGATGGAAAAGTTAAAGATAGATTGAATTAGCAGCAACCATAGTAGTATTTGTAGAAAAAAAAGAGGAATGCAACCTTATAACAATGGGACAGAGCCCTTTTTTTTTATAATTCTTCACTACTGACCTCTCCATGAGAGGTCAGTTGGTTGTCAATAAGTTGTTGGATTCAAGATGAGATATTAGAAGTTTGTTAATTAAGACTTGAAGACCTTGATAACAATATAACGATTTATCGAGCAACAGTTAGAATAGTCAGAACAGAGTTTTAACAAATCAGAATCAGAATCAAGAATGCTTTGGATGTCTTACAATGGATCCAGTTTCCATGGAATGAAAGGAAGAGTGCGGTCATTAGATTCAAAGATATGAATAAAAGGAGAAGCTTTTATTTATAGTTACACTTTATCTTAAGGTCAATTTATTAAAATGCACAAAAATTAAAAATAATTATAGTTACTCAAGACACGTCACCTTTATTTGAACATAGTGCAATAATTGCTCTAATCATAAACATGTAAATATGTTCAACTTTGAACAGAAAACAAATTTAAAAAAAGTTTGTACGCAATGCTTCAGTAGAAAAAATATGACCTCATTTTGGTCTGTACCACACTGCCCAAAGTAGGTCAACATCATTATATAAAGGTTAAACTTGAATATAGTTAATGCTCTAAAATATATTG